TGATGTGTTTTTAATATTCAATTACACCGCTACACAAACATGATGTGTTATTAATATTCAATTACACTGCTACACAAACGTGTGTTATTAATATTCATATACACTGCTACACAAGTGTGATGTGTTATTAATAATCAATTACACTGCTACACAAACGTGATGTGTTATTAATATTCAATTACACTACTACACAAGTGTGATGTGTTATTAATATTCAATTACACCGCTACACAAACATGATGTGTTATTAATATTCAATTACACTGCTACACAAACGTGTGTTATTAATATTCATATACACTGCTACACAAGTGTGATGTGTTATTAATATTCAATTACACTGCTACACAAACATGATGTGTTATTAATATTCAATTACACTGCTACACAAGTGTGATGTGTTATTAATATTCAATTACACCGCTACACAAACATGATGTGTTATTAATATTCAATTACACTGCTACACAAACGTGTGTTATTAATATTCATATACACTGCTACACAAGTGTGATGTGTTATTAATATTCAATTACACTGCTACACAAACGTGATGTGTTATTAATATTCAATTACACTGCTACACAAGTGTGATGTGTTATTAATATTCAATTACACCGCTACACAAACATGATGTGTTATTAATATTCAATTACACTGCTACACAAGTGTGATGTGTTATTAATATTCAGTTACACTGATACACAAACGTGATGTGTTATTAATATACAGTTACACTGTTATACAACTGTGATGTGTTATTAATATTCAGTTACACTGCTTCACAAGCGTGATGCGTTATTAATATTCAGTTAAACCACTACAGAAACATGATGTGTTATTAATATAGTTATACTGCTGCACAAACGTGATGTGTTATTAATATTCATTTACACTGCTACACAAGTGTGATGTGTTTTTAATATTCAATTACACTGCTACACCAATGTGATGGGTTATTAATATTCAGTTACACTGCTACACAAACGTGATATGTTATTAATATTCATTTACACCACTACACAAACGTGATGTGTTATTTGTCAATGCAGATACACAATATTGATTTTTTACTAATGTGTTAAAAGAGATCACTGAAACTGACCCTAATGTGATGAAAGTATGTACAGTGTATATAAATGCATCCTTCAAATGATGGTCTAATTGGGCATTACCTTGGAGTAACTGCTAATGGGTAATGGGTTTCTAATCTTCAGACCAGCCTTGGTCAGCTCTAGTGACAAACATGTATGCAAGGCATATAAATCCGATGTCTCAGGCCTTCATACCAGTCTGTATATTGTATGCTTGGGCATTGGGTGGACAAGTGGTCAAGACACTTGGCTTCACAGATTGTTGTTATCTCACCTCTATTCACATGGGTCCAAGCCTTAGTTTGACCAACATGGGTATGTGAGAAAGCTTGCTAGTAGATTCCTGTGGGTTGATGGTTCTTTCCGGACTTTTCCTACATTCTTCCTCCAACAGATATGTTGGCGGCCATGTGTTAAACCCAACAAAAACTAACAAAGAAATTATTCAATTAAGTGTCACTAGACTGACCTTCTGTAAATACATGATTGTGTTATTCCATTGAATTATAAATACAAACTAATTTAGCATATTTATTTTGTTACATATTGAATAATTTTTTCGACCATCTTTGTCCATGAATCATCAATTCTTCCTATGTATCACAAAAATAGTAACTGAACCATTTCAGTAGTGTGTAACTGAGACAAGTTTGTATGCATAAGAGGATGTTAGTCATAGAATATAAAACTTCTGTGATGGCTTGTCACCTGTCTGCCATTGTTTGTCAGTTATCCTTATAGCAGCAGTTTGTTATCATTACTTCTAAACTAATGGGAACATTGCTATGAAACTTACACACTTATTTATCCTAAGGTCTAGTTGGTCCAGAATTAAAATTGTATCCCTAGAAGACCATTATGAAAACTATTTTAAAGCCTTGTTTTGGGGTATTTATTTGATTTGAATTTTTAATGTAGCTTTTAAAAAAATTTAGTCATATCACTATGATGTCTGCAGTGTGGCAATTTATACTGATGTCTAGCAGTGAGGCATCATACTGCAGGCATGTAGCATGATGTCCCACCCAGTCACATTTATCCTGACACCAGGCCAACCAGTCATAACATGAACCACTCAATGGTGAGAACTTAGTGAGGCAGATGTTTGTATCATTTTCTAAAATAAGTCTTTGGTACGACTCATCTAAGGTTTAAACTTTTGACCTCCTGCATCCAAGTTGGATGCTCTAACCACTTAGGCCACTGGAGCAGTCCTTAAAAATCTTGATATGGATAAACTTCCTGAACAGATGGTCATACCAACGTGAATGACCAACAGGTGGTCATACCAATTTGAATGACCAACAGATGGTCATACCAATATGAATGATTAACAGATGGTCATACCAACTTGAATGACCAACAGATGGTCATACCAACTTGAATGACCAACAGATGGTCATACCAACTTGAATGACCAACAGATGGTCATACCAACATGAATGACCAACAGATGGTCATACCAAGTTGAATGACCAACAGATGGTCATATCAAGTTGAATGACCAACAGAAGGTCATACCAACTTGAATGACCAACAGATGGTCATACCAACGTGAATGACCAACAGAAGGTCATACCAACTTGAATGACCAACAGATGGTCATACCAACGTGAATGACCAACAGATGGTCATACCAAGTTGAATGACCAACAGATGGTCATACCAACTTGAATGACCAACAGACCAGCATTGGAAACTTCTTACTATGTCAGGTTGGTCCAGATTGAAATTGGTTGCAGTGAGAAAAGGCATCACATCCACAACAAACAAACAAAGCAACTCTAATTGAAAATGGTGGCACTAATCTGAGATCTATTTTTGCCAGCGGCCAGTTCAGTGACTTCATAAATTACATAGATCATTGGCAGATTTAGAATGTTCCTCCATCTTGACATTGTCATAGTGACCTTGTATCCATGTTATAAGGTTCAAGGTCAAAGGCCATGCCAGGGAAATTTGTATGCAATTACAGGTATTTTGTGAACATGTTATATTGAGCATATAAAAAAGATTTTTTTATCAAAATTAATTATCATTGATTTTGAGAAATTACTTTTGGCCAGTCAGTCCCTTCAGAGTATTTCTGTGTCTTTAGAGGTTAAACTTTACTACCGTTAAGATTTTGTACCCTATTTCACCAATACATATCAAAATTAGTATCATCTAGATACTTGTCAGGAGGAGTAACTTGTTTAATATAACCATAATGATAAATAATAAGTAAAATATATTTTATAGCTGTGATCATTCTACACGATCAACTTTGCCACTAAAATTCATTTCAACTTATCTTGTGACAATAGAGACCCTACAGCTATCAAAATGTATACAGTGACTTGTCTTTGTAACCACTGTTACTCTTGCACAGGAATACATATTGGTCACTGTAACCATCTTAAGTGACATTGCATGAGAATTGTCATGGTACAGCCCAGATACAGTGACCCTTACTTCCATCAAACTTTATATTTAGGTTCATTTTGTGTTACATGGCACTGTGTTTCACTATGCAATTGCTGTATCCTTCTTTTTTTCGTTGCTTAGCATCAAAATGGATTTTACTAGATATTTTTAACAATGTCAGCTTTTCAATCAAAAAACTTTACATTATTGATGTATTGCAATTGATTTGTTGGATATTTTGCAAAGTATCAGTCTGTTTTACCAAACTAGGTCACTGTATCCTATTGAGAAACTTTTCAACTTGTATACATGTTATTCATTAGAATTTAATCTACATAATGACAATACCTTCATAATAAAGGTACATTAGGTACATGTAACTTCCAGTATCACTCAAATGGACATGAATACCAGTCCAGCTTGAATTTATAAAGAAAGATATGGATGGGAACCATTCTTTGCTTACTGGACAGTTTGCTACAGAATATTATTATTAAAACTTATTGCAAAACTTAAAATTCCAAAATTTAAAATTTATTACAGTGGCAGTATTATTGAAGATTTATTAAGCAATAAGGTTGAAGTTCAAGGTCACATCAGTCAGTACAGTAATGATTGTATTCATACAGTATGTGGATTATGAATGGCATTATCCACTGGTCTGTATAAGCCTTACTTTCAAAACCTATGAACTATATATCTAATACTAATAATTTTCAACATATCATATGATAATTAGTAGAAATTATTAATAAATCTTTTTATTTTTCATTGCTAATTTGCTTTGTAACTGTATTGTATAGTCAGATTTAATGAAAGAAATTGCTGTTGACTGCTGTATTGTGATCAAATAAAATTGCTGTATTGTTTAACCAGGCTTTATGAAATGAAATTGTTGTGACTGCTGTATTGTTTAACCAGGCTTTATGAAATGAAATTGTTGTGACTGCTGTATTGTTTAACCAGGCTTTATGAAATGAAATTGTTGTGACTGCTGTATTGTTTAACCAGGCTTTATGAAATGAAATTGTTGTGACTGCTGTATTGTGTAATAGGGTTTGATCAAATGAAATTGCTGTGACTGCTGTATTGTGTAATATGACTTGACCAAATGAAATTGCTGTGACTGCTGTATTGTGTAATATGGCTTGATCAAATGAAATTGCTGTGACTGCTGTATTGTGTAATATGGCTTGATCAAATGAAATTGCTGTGACTGCTGTATTGTGTAATAGGGTTTGATCAAAGGAAATTGCTGTGACTGCTGTATTGTGTAATATGGCTTGATCAAATGAAATTGCTGTGACTGCTGTATTGTGTAATAGGGTTTGATCAAAGGAAATTGCTGTTAACTGCTGTATTGTGTAATAGTGTTTGATCAAATGAAATTGCCAAGACTGCTGTATTGTGTAATAGGATTTGATCAAATGAAATTGCTGTGATTGCTAATCACTTCCAATTTTTTTTCAGCAATTATAAATAATCACTAATCTTCTTATAGGATCCACAATGGCTCATTGGTTAGAGTACCTGACTCAAGATCAAAAGGGTACAGGTTCAAATCCTACCATTTGAACCAGTCTAGGTCAGTTATGGTGGTGTATTCTCAGGCAAGGCACTCTAATCCATTGGCTTTTGGCACTATATAACCTACTTGTGTTGCTGTGCCATAGAGCACCCAAACAATCCAGACCAATCTTTTATATTTCAATCATTTTGACAAAGTGCATATTAAATATTTATTTAAACCATCATTCTCCTCAAGTTGTTATTTTTAGCTTAATTGACAGAATGACAGGCTGACAATATTTTCTTGACTTACTAACATTTATTTTATCTGAATGTAAAATATGGTGATCTTATGTGCCACAGAATGATTTTTTATCCCCTTGTCAGCAGAAGTAGGAGGTGAAGTAGCATTTTTCTTGGTGATCCATTCATATGTTTGGGCCATTATCAAAAATAGTTCAAATCTGAGCACTGTTCCAAATTGATCAAGACAAGGAGAGCACACAACTTGAATGGACTGTCATAGATAAGCAAAATTTTCCACTGCTGGTCCATGTTTTCACAAATTCTTTCACTCAAATAGATGTGTAATGGCTTCCCTCTAGTACGAAGTCATGCTTTCAATGTTAAACTTACAAATTATCCTTTTGAGGTCAATTGCCTCCACAATTGAAGCTGATGTACAATGCACTATGATATTCCTTAGTTGGCATTACATAATAAGGGAGGCAGCTGATGTAATCCAATAACAATAATAATAATTAATTTTTTTTAGAGGGTGATTCATTAGTCAAACACTATTTTCATTGAGTCCCTCTTAAGGAGAGTATAACATGAAAGATAGCAATAATTACCGTTAATTTTAACAGGTTTAGTATTAAAATACTAAATTCCATTATCTACTAGAAGGACATATGTGCTAATAATATCTCTTCTTAAATATTGTAATATTTTCAGCTATTTTATCTGTAGTGGAAGCGTATTCCACAAAACTACCAGAGTATTGGAAGTTAATTTAAATTTCCCTTTTCTTGGGTTTGGCACTAGAAAGTTTCCATGTGATATTGATCTCAACTGATATTGTGTTGTAAAAGACCTAAATAAGTCCTGAAGATACTCTGGTGCAGTTCCGTGTAACTTTTATATAAAAGAACTGCCTTATGAAAATCTATCCTTTCATATATTGTTAACCATTTGAGTTCTGTAAACAATGCTTTTGAGGGATGATTAATAGATGCATCTAAAATTATGTGTACTTCTCGTTTCTGAAGTTTGTAAATTCTATCAAGCTCAGATTTAGCACAGTTTCCCTATATATTTGAACAATAATCCATTGTTGGAAGAATATATGACTTGTAGTATAGATTGTGAGTTTCAACAGGTAAATATTTCTAGATTCTGATGTGTAGGGCAATTTTTGGATGACAGTGTTTTACAAAGCTTATCAATATGGTCATCCTATTGAAAATTACTATTTATGGACACACCGACAAGCTTTTCATGTTTGACATTTTCTACCTGATGATTATTTATTGCAAGAGAGAATTCTAGGTTCCCTGACTTTTGTAGCTTATGTGTTGTCCCCAAAATCATACATTTTGTTTTATCTTCATTAATTACCATCCTATTTTGTTGTGCTCAGTTTTGGATTCTAATAAGGTCTGAGTTTTTAGATAACTTCAGTATCAGAACTAGATGTATACAAGATTGCATCACAGTATTTTATTGATTTGATATTTAATGGCAGATGAATGGTAGAGATAACAAAGAGGAGAGAGCATAAAACTGAGCCTTGAATGAATACTGTGAGTTTGAGAGCTAATATTGTCAATGCTTACTTGTTGAGACCTTTAGTTTAGTCATAATCTAAACCAATTTAAAGAATGATTGTCAAACCTGTAACATTTCAACTTTTGCATCAGAATTTCATGATCAACAAGATCAAAGGCTTTCTTGAAGTCAAGGAAAACAATCCCATGTCCATTATCCACTTCCTTCAGCCAAAGATGATTAATTTGGTAAGTTCTGTTTGGCATGAGTGGTACTTTCTAAATCCTAATTGTGCTTTATGAAATAGAGAGTATGTTTCAAACAATTTACAGACCTGAATGGCTACTTGCTTTTCAGAGTTACTTAATGGTAGAGTTTTCATGTAGTCAATGTTATAATCACCTAAGATGATAGTTTCTATATCTTCCTTTTGCAATGCTGTTCGAATTTGCACCTCAAATCTATTAATCAATTCAACTGTGGAACTTGGTAGCCTGTAACATAAGGGTGTAGGCTTTGTCTGGACAAGGGATACTCCACATGATCCATCACTATGACCACATGAGAATGTTCAATATGATTCACATTTCTACAATAAGACATTGACCTATTAGACTGATTCACATTTCTACAATAAGACATTGACATATTAGACTGATTCACATTACTACAATAAGACAATGACATATTAGACACTTGAGGAGACACAGAGGGAGAAGTAACTTGAACAGTATCAAATAGTTGTTTACATGCTAACAAGTTGCACTTTGTACACAAATCAGATAGTGCCTGAAACCTGTTATCAAATAATTATTACATCAATAAGTATATACATATTCTAATGCTTGTTGTTGCTGGACATGTGTTGTATAGGCCTGTACATCACTGCCTTCTACCTACTGGTATGTGCACAACTTTTGCTTATGTCCTAGTTCATTACAAACAGGGCAACAAATCATATTTCCATGCAGACACTGCTTGACCATGCTCTCCACAATACAAGCAGTTTTCTGACGTGTGTCTTACCCCTTTATAAGTCTTATGTACTGGTCTATATTCTAAACAAGCAAGGCAGTACATCTGTTGGATGGATTTGGTATGGCTGGTATAATTGATGGTTCACTGACCTTGATTGTCTTTAAAGAAGGCAGATGTCATTTGGACAAAGCACCAATATATCTGTTTGATCTGCAAAGGTGTAGACAATGTTATCACATTGGATAGTGAAGATGTGCCGTATGTTTTGTCAGCATCAATTTGTTTATTATATCTACTGTACCTTGAAACCCATTATGTCTCGTTTTAACCATACTCCAATGAAGTTTTATTCACTCATCTATTTCACATGAGGGCTTAGATTTTAGCTCAGACTCACTACTGATGGGTAAAGTGTGTCAAATCTTTTTCTGACCAGCTGTCTCTGACTGTGATGGAATCTCTATATTTGGCACCTAAATCCTACTGCCTTGGTATCAGTCCTTCACACCAGTCTGTATAGTGTCTGATATTCCAAATGTGCTTCTGTTTATTAGTGGATTCATGTTCTAGCGTAAACACCATATTTTATAAAGAATAATAATTTTTTAAATTATATCAGCAAATATTTGTTAATCATTTTATTGTTTTAGAAAGTGGAAGTCTTTGTGATATAATGTAATTTAATTGTGGGGGTTCTTTATAAAGAAGGAAGGGAAAATTGAATGGTGAATGTTAACTTTTGTTGGATATTTTGAAATGTCATGTAATTTGATTTGTTTTCCATATTTTGCTTAGTGTACTTAAAATATTTATTGTTCATATTTGTCACCAGTTGTATGAAATTATGCATGTATTTAAGTTCAATTATTCTTATTTATGTTCACAGGTATTTTGGTTTGTGTTCACTTGTATTTTGACTTATGTTCCTTTGTATTTTGGCTTGTGTTCATATACATTTTTAAAGTTGATGCAAAATAGGACCATCAATAAAAATGTATTCATTTTAGTTCTTTGTTATAATTCTTTCCCCATTTATAATAATTATCATTTTTTCTTATATTAATAGTTTAACGTGGTATGCATCATTGTCTTAAAAATCCAATGTTGGAATTTATGCGATTGAGTTTCTACCTTCAGTCATATGTAAATATCTTATTCATATAATCACTCTTATTGTCTCCACAAGAATCTGACTCCAACCATTACAATAAAAAACAAGAATCTGGTGGCGCTCTACAGTTTCATATTTAGCATAGGGTTAGAATTTTAAAGAAAAAGAGTTTTCCCGGGTTTCCTCACTAGTTATACTGGCTATTTAAAAGAGACTTTGCATATCTTAGGTATTGTGCAAAGAACCTATAATTCCCATTATTTTGATGTATGATTGATGGGTGTAATATGGGTTAGAGAGTATACAGCTTAGCCTTACTCCAGATGTGCACCTTTCAAAAAAGTGCTAGCTCTACTTGCTCATTTTCACTTCTCGAACTTCAGAGGTAAATTGTAAAAAATAGAGCTGATCACTTTTTTTACATTTTATGTATTTGGTAATTCATTCATTGCACTTTTAGAAGCTGGTATTGTCTAGTTTGGCAAAATTCATTTTTCATATTTTAATAGCTGCCAAGAATAGTGTACTTTAGACAAATTAGATTGATTTTTGGAGCACAAGGGAGCAGTCATTTTAGTTAGCAGTGTCCTAAGATCATTTAAAATTTCCAAAAGTACAATATCAAAAGAAATTTCAGCCACATTACATGAAAGTAGTGCATAGGTATGCCAACATTCTCTCCACTATGCATGTTTAAAATGCCAACAACTTCACCTTACATCACTCTCTCAAACATACATAATAACTGGTGAGCGCCACCTCATAACAAGAATTTACACCTCCAAATGTGCAAGATTTTATGTATATGCATGCATCACTCCATGGCAATGTATGCATCAAGATAGGACAAATTACATGTACATGTATGTCATTTGAAGTTAACAAGAGTCAAGTGTATTTTGTGTAAGGACATAGAGATTCCCTGACATAGATCAAAAGTTTATTTGTTTATGTATGTACCAAGAATTATAAAATGTCTTGTGTCGAGACAACCACCTTGTGGCTTGAGCAACACCATCCCAAGGCAATTTGAGTACAATGTTTTGTCTAGGACATGCACCATTGTGTTAACACAACACATTTCCAAGGCAATTTGAGTATAATGTTTTGTCTAGGACATGCACCATTGTGTTAACACATTTCCAAGGCAATTTGAGTATAATGTTTTGTCTAGGACATGCACCATTGTGTTAACACAATACATTTCCAAG